AAGTTGACGATTTTTGTATATAATATTGATCAATTGGAAGCTTCAAAGTAGTTTCCTCAACTATATACATAGATTCATCTATATATAAGTTTGATAATTGGGCGGTTGATAGTTATCTGGTTTTGATTTTGATCCTAAAATTGATTAATTTTGAGTCGTTAATTCGGTGTTTGATGGTACCCAAGCGACCTTTTGGTGTGGGGGAAGAAGAGGGCTTCACTGTTGCTAATCACGAAGCCAAACGAAGGATCACATCTTCAAAGTGAGTGATTATTGATTACTGATACAATTGTTGTGATTCTATAAACTTTTAGACTGTTTTAACTCGATCTCACTTTTGATATTCGATTTGTTTCCAGCCTTGCTCAAAATCTGATATGCGGGTTTTCATCACAAGAGTTATCCTTGATTTTAGAACCATTAATTCGAAGATGTGTGAGAGAAGAAGTTCAGCGTTCATGTCAAAGCTTCTTTTGTACACTACCGAGGTTAGATTTCCATTTCAATTAACTTGTATGCCTTTTTGTAGTAAGGATTTCTAAATTCAAATTATTTTGTTCTTCAGATCTCCTCTTGACGCAATCGAACCAAGTAGGAAGACATCATTGCAGCTTCGTTTTCTAGGGAATCTGTCTAATACATTCTTCACTGGAAGCAGGATAGAATCTGATGACAATACCCCTCTCAAATTAGTATTGTTTGATGTGAATGCCAATAAAATTGTATCATCTGGACCCTTATCATCATTAAAGATAGAATCGTTCCTCTTGATGGTGATTTTGTTACTGATGAAGAACAAGATTGGTCTGAAAAAGATTTCGATTCCAAAATCATATGTGCAAGAGATGGAAGAAGGCCATTGATAGCTGGAAATTTGGTAGTGACACTCGAAAATGGAGTTAAGGAAATCGATGAATTATGTTTTACTGATAATTCAAGCTGGAGAAGGAGTAGAAAGTTCAAAATTGGAGCAAGAGCCAAAGATGCTTCTGGAAGAGTGAGAGTTAGAGAAGCAAGAAGTCAAGCTTTCATGGTTAAAGATCATCGTGGAGAATGTAAGACCCTTTTTCTTTAACTGTATTAAGTGAAAAAAGGAACACCTTATTTATAACATAATTATATGACTAATTAATGATTGTTTTCTACTTTTCTTGATTTCAGCATACAAAAAACACCACCCTCCATCATTAGGTGATGAAATCTGGAGATTAGAAAAGATAGCAAAAGATGGAGTTTTTCATAAAAGATTGGCTTCACATCGCATATGCACTGTAAAAGACTTTCTACAAATGTATATCACCAACCAATCCTTACTACGCAAGGTAAGTTATTAATAGTTTCCAAAAACAAGAAATAGCAACTTACATTTATTTATTTGTTTATCAATGAAAGTACATTTGCTTATCTTTTTTCTTTTTGTATATTGTAGTTACTTGGTGGATCATCTAACAAGACATGGGAGACAATAATCAAGCATGCAAAAGCTTGTGTTTTAGATGAAAAGTTATACATGTATAGATGTGGCCCACAAGGAATCGGGCTTTTGGTTGATTCTATTTTGGAGGTTGTTGGTGCAACTTTTGATGGACAAAACTATCTTCCACTCGATAAACTCCCCGTTTTTCAAATGGTACGTATAACATCCTACTTTCATTGATCTGTGTTTCTTTCTGCAAAAAAGTTATTCTTCCAACAACCCAAAATTTGAAATAAATAATGATAATAAAACTTATATTTTTTTCGTGTATGGTTTGCAGCCTATGGTGGAATCTTTAAAGCAAGAAGTTTATCGAAACTTGAATGGGATGATACCGATGGATGATTTATCCGTTATTGGAGCCCCGGTTCCGATGGCGAATTTACATAATTACCCCTTGAAAAGTGCAAGTTTGGGTCTACCATGTGTTGACATTCCTCTTCTACACCAAGGTATGACATTTTTCACACTTTTTTATGTAATATAAAACAATAAACTATATGAAAAGTCATTTTATTTGTAAATAAATCATGACTCATTTCATTGCCTTTGTTTGATGCAGATGAAGTTGAAATGCACATGTATGGGGTGGTTGGTAGCACTAGTAGTGAAGAGGAATATTTTTCTCCAAATTTAAGAAACAGTTTCAAAACAAAAGAGTTCATGAATGGAGGTTATGGTGATGATTTTAATTTTCCGTCATTATGGCAAGGAGATGAACTCTACATTGATCCAAATAATCAAAGTATAGATATTGGAATATGTTTTTCAAGAAATGGGTCACCACGGGCACGTTGGTGCAAGATTCGGGCTGCCCTAAAATGGGGTTCGGTCAGACGAGATGTGGCTGCCAAAAAAATGGCACGCTTGCCTTCGTATCTTGATTTCTCGGTTTAGATTTTTTTAGGTTAATAGGTAGAAAAATTGGTTGTAATAATAACACTGTTTTGCTGTATCAGCTGGTAAGGAGGTAAGAATCCATAAGTGAGATTTCAGTTCAAACCTAACATAAGCATGATCACATCGTTGCTTTTGGGATACTGTGATTTACCTTCCCCATGCTGACAGTGGGACAAGATGTCACTTTTTTCATTGTTTGGTGGCCGGATTTGTGTCTTTGTCGATCGCCACTACTTGATCTTGTTTTACATTGCGTATAATGCTTGGTTCTTGTATAAATTTTGGACCTTAATGCTAAAGTTTTTTTTATGTTTTTGTTAATAAAGATTCAAAAGAAATTGAATTTAATTAAGTGTTTTTGAAGCATGATTTGCCGTATTTACCATGGGTTAGTTTTTGTCATTCATTAAATTAAAAAAAAATGTTAAAAAGTGCAAATTAGATATCCTAAGGTGGAGTACCTCCGAATAAGGATGAAAGCGCAAATATGAGTTTATGGGGATTTCAAAGTACGAGATTAACCATTCCTCACTTTACAAAACGGGATTAACAACTTTAGAGGGATGGGTTCACATTAAACACTACACAAAGAGTATGGGATAGCAATATCATGCTACAATTTATCAAAAGCATGTCTCATATTTTCTTGAACAACAAAATCATGTCTCATATAAGGTATAATTAGATGCAGGTGAGTGAGTAAATTTGCGTTTAGATATTCCGAGTTTATTTCCAATACTCTTGGGCTCCTTTTGAGTTACCTCGCATACATAGTCTTCTTAGATGGGAGTTGTTGGTGAGTCGTTGATGGTGGTTGGAGAATTGAAGTGGTGATTGGAGAATTGAAGTGGTGATGATGAAGAGTTCGTTGGTTTTGAAGTAGAGTTGCAAGTGAATGTTTTAAGTGACATGGATGTCATGTCAATACTACATGGATGTTGCATTATTATATAATGAAACAATAAGGTGTTGTTTGCATAATGTTTTAAGTGTCACATGGATGTCATGTCAATACTACACATGGATGTTGCAGAGACAAAAAGTCTGCAGTCTGCGGACCATATCTGTAGATCTCTGCACTAGAAAAGGTGGACCAAACGTTTTCGATCTATAAGAACAAGACTGTTTGTTTTTTAATATCTACGGACTTGCGAAAATAAACTGAAATTTAAATGACCCGATTTTTTAAACGTAAAAAACTTTTTCAACATTAAATTTTATATAATTTTAGTTTTATAACATTGAGATATAATTCACACAACCACAATAATATATTTTTTTTATTATTTTTTGCAACATTAAACTATCATGTTAAACCTGAGAAAAGTATGTAAGCTAATGGTATTAAAGATCATGGCATTTTCCATTGCAAGAATGTTAATCATTTTGAAACTTGAGTATTATAAAAAGTAAAACAACTTTATGTCGATTGACAATCTAAATCTCAAACAAAAACCATTAAAAAAGAATGATCAACAATCAAAAGGTGATTAGAATTGAAGCCAAATTACACTTTTATTACAATTACATTGAATAAAACTCTCAAAATACCAAAAGTTTGCATTATTTTACATGTAAACAAAGCACAAAAGATGAATAGATAAGAATCTTTGGTAACCGGTAGGTATTCCTTGCATTTCTTGAGAGAGATCTATGAGTCCTAGAAAAAGAAAACGTTTTTTTTTAGACTTGTGAAGACATCAGAAGACAGTCATGTCTTTTGCAAGAAGACATAGCGTAGGCGTTTATAGATCTATGCATTTCCAATAAAACAAACGGTTTACGATAGCATATGTATGCGTCGCGCAAACAGAAGTGGCCCCTGGACAGCTGGAGCAATGATCAAATGGATACAATGACAAAGACATTCCATCTTTGAAATCTCAAACCTATATAAAGAAAGAGTAAATTACACAAATGGTCCCTATGATTTAGGGTAATTTGCGTGTTTGGTCCCTAACTTATTTTTTTAACTCGGAAGGTCCCTACTGTTTGTTTTTGTTACGCGTTTGGTCCCTGTCTTACCTAAAAAGACTATTTTGCCATTGATTTTTTAATTTATTTAAATAAACACACCCCAACCCCACCCCCCTCACCTTACCTTATCTACCCCACCATTTTTCCCTATTTAAATAATAGTCTTTTTAGGTAAGACAGGGATCAAGTGTGTAACAAAAACAAACAGTAGGGACCAAACGCGTAATAAAAACAAACAGTAGAGACCTTCTGAATTAAAAAAGAGTAAATTACACTAATCGTCCCTCGGTGCACATGCCAAAAAGCATGTTCAGTCCCTATTTTCAAAAATTAACTCGGACCGTCCCTCGTTTGCTTAAAACTTGCACACTTCGTCCCTGATATGCTTTTTTCTTGCGAATGTAGTTCGTGCCTCATTTGAAATGACGATAATGCCCTTGGATATTTATTTTTTAGTTATTCTAATATTATTTATTATAATTTATCAATTAACAAAGAAAATAAATAAAAACAACTCTCTGTAATCTCTATCTCTCTCAGTTACAGTGGAAAATACCACTACCTCCTCCGATCGATCTCTCACTCTCTCTCCCCATTCTTCTTCGATACCTGATCTCATCTTTTCCAACCCATCCACCCCTTCACTTCCAAACCCTCACGCTATTGTTACTGATCGGAGATAAAAGAGTAACCCAAAACACACACACACACACACACATGTGTTTTGATACGATATCGAGATAGAGGCCAAGTGAGATGGAGATATAGCCTGATAACGAGAGAAATAGGTTGAGAGAGACGGACTCGATGAAAGAAAAAAGGATACCATAGGAAATGGGTGAGATGGAGATGTAGCACGATAAGAGAGAGAAATACTTGATTTCGATTTTGATTTTGAGTTTCCTCCTTCTTCATCGTCACCAAATTCAGAAATTGCAACTGATGTAGGTTTTCATTTTGATTTTAAGGTTCGTTTCAGGTTTGGTTTGATTTTATTTCGATGGATTGTCTTGGACTTGATTTCAATCGGTTACTTGTTTCGATTTTGAAGATGAAGATAGGTTGGGACTTTGAATGCAGTGGGATGTCGTGAACTTGTGATTGTGATTGCTTGTGGGTGTCATTTGTGTTGATTAAATCTCGTCAGTATTTCAAGGTTTTGAAGATTGAATTATTGTTTCGATGGTGATGGTTATGGTTTAGAGAAATAACTTTCGATTAGAGCAGTGGATGGATCGATTTGATTATTGGGTTTCACCACGAAGCATATAGATTGAAATTGGTAGTTTCGATGGTCATTGGTGTTCTTAAGGCAGAGGGAGAGAACGAAGATAAGGATGGTGGTTTGGAGTCTGATTTTGGTACACTGATTTGGGGTTTTGGATGGTTAACGGGAATGGGTGAGAAGAGGGAGACGAAGGTAGAAGAAATTTGGGGAAAGGGAAGGGGAAGGTGGTTGCGGTGATAGGTTGTGGTGTCGGAGGTGGTGACGCTGATATGTGGTGGTGCCGGAGGGTCGGCGGTGATAGGTGGTGGTTGTGTCTTGTAGCAGAAATAGGGACTGAACGGTAGGGGAGGGATATTTGTTTACCCTTTTATTATTATTATTATTATTATTATTATTATTATTATTATTATATATAATTTAAACTGATAAAGAAATAAAAAAAAGGAAAAAAGGAAATAACTAAGGGAAAATTAGTCTTTTCATGTCAATAGGGATGATGCGTGTAAGTTTAAAACAAACAAGGGATCGTCTGAGTTAATTTTTGAAAATAGAGACTAAATGTGCTTTTCGGCACCTGCACGAGGAACGATTGGTGTAATTTACCCATTAAAAAAAATAAGTTCGGGATCAAACGCGCAAATTACCCCAACCCATAGGGACCATTCGTGTAATTTACTCATAAAGGAGTTTATAGAAATAGAGAGTAACATCCTTAGAGCATGGTGTTCACATGGTGGGTTGCACTTGTCATCTAGGACCTCGTGCACAACGAGGAGGGTGTTAGAGTATCTCCAATAAAAATAAATTCACTTATTAAAATTCATAAACCATTCATTGGAGCATATAACTTATAACGAATTATATTATAAAACTAGGTTAAAACCTGTGGAACCCATGGGTGTTAATTTTAAATAGAATTTAAAAAAAAATTGATTATGTAATAAAATAATATATCATTAATTTAGAAAAACATATGAATTGTAATATTGTATTTTTTTTAAACAACTTTGTAATTTGTAAGTATTTAATTACACTACTATAAAAGAAAGTAAATTCTATTTCATTCATTTAGCACATTAAAATAGTATACAGTTTATTAAAGTACAACCCCCTTCCAATATTAATTGAGTCCAGAAAAGAAACATGTAGGAAAAGAAAAAGTTGTGTGTGGCTATGTGTGTGAACGTATGTGTTATAACCGGTTAAAGAGAGTGAATTATAGTTTCACTCCCTGAGTTTAGATGCTTTTTTTTAGAATTGGTCCCTAAAAAAATTGCATTGCAACTTTAATATACCATGTTCCTCTCAATAGAAGTATTATTTCTTGCATTTACATAAAAGGCTAAATGCAAGAAACTCTTTTAATATAAGAGTCACCATTATCAATTCTCCTTTTAAGAAACTCAAATCCGTAGGATACATAACACTTAAAACAACAATAAATAACCACCAATTATCATCCTCCGTTATCATACACTGGAGTTGATATAAATCCTACCATTTTAACACCTATGGTCAAAACTTAAAAGAAAATCAACATTAACATAAACTTAAACCCCAATTTTAGAAATAAATAATAGTGTCTAACAATTTTTCTAAGTAAAACAACCTCGGAATCCGCTAACAATGAACACTATACATCAAATATTGCATACTTGAGATTAAGTAGCAAGTAACCTCAAACTGTGATGTGTTGGATTCAGAAAGATGCAAAGATCCGTTTCTTTCGGTGTCTAAACTTCTGGGATTTGTAAGTGTAAAACTTATGTTTGGTTGATGATCACCATATGTTTCTTTAAAGAAAGGTGTAGTAGCAAAAGGTTCAAATCTTGATTTTTTGGATTTTTGTTGTTCTTGTCGGTGATGGGTAAGAAAGCTTCCGAGTATGACCTAAAAATATAAATATTAAATAGAAAGATGATTCTATTAGATGAAGGAATTGGAATGGTAATTATTAAGTTTCAAGATTGATGTTAATATTTGAAATTATAAAGGTTATAGCTAAAAATGGAAGTGAGTATTGAATTTGCAAAAAAAAGCAAAAAAAAAAAAAAAAAAAACGTGTCTTTTAATGAATTTAGAACAAAATCATAAGTTGGAGTTTGACTTTTGAAGGTCAAAATGTATGTTTATTAGTTGACAA